AGCAATATGTCGTTATTGACCGTGTCGAAAGCTTTACGAAAATCCAAGTACGCTACATCCACCTGACCACCTACCCGTCTGTCTAAGGCTGTGCTTGCATAGTGCATGAAACACATATGATTAGACTCTGTACCTCGCCCTGGCCGGAATGTGAATGTGAATGTTCTTGTCTATAGATTGATGTCGTTGACAAAATAAAACTTTTTTTTATTATACAGATAGAGCATTGGAAATCGAGAAATATTGCGTATTGTCTAAAGTTTTAGAACAATTTTTTTCTGTTTTAATGATGAATTCCTGGTAGGATCATTTGTGATGCTCTACAAAGTTCGTCCTGCTCTAATTGTCTTGAGAAGTAACCAGTTTCATAAACAATAATTGGTTTTTGGCTGGGTGTTCAAGGTAGTGCCTCGGAGTGAACTCCGGTGCTCTGATGCTCATAATGCAGGAGATTCCTTAATTTAAATGACCAGACGAACACGGTAAGCGACACGCCTCTCATTCAGGGCTTTAAATCGCAAGGGTATGACGTTCACAGCCACTGCGCCCGTCACCCTGAGACATAAATTGACAAGTCCCATGTGCCTATAATTTCACCAGGTAATTGTTGAAGTTGTATGGCATATATTTAATAAACAAAAGCCTGTATGTAATCATCATCACATCAACAAAAGAACTTCTTACCCAATGAAGCTGCTCCAAACAGGACAGATACAGTTGTAAATATATACATTGTTCTGCAACAAATTGTTGTCAGATGATATTACGCTGTATTTATAAATACTTATCCACAATCATGTTATTCGTGAACTATTGAACTTCATATCTTGAGATAAACCAATTAAATTCCCGCAAGTACACCAAAAAACTCAACATCCTCTGGGGTTTTATGATGTTAGGGAATTTCGATGTATTATCATTATTTCATACGTCACCAGTCCATGACTTTGTCTATGGATGCATATCGACGGCCCCACCGAATAAACGTGTAAAGGAAAAAATATTACTTTACAGGAGAGATTAAAAAGTAATTAATAAGATAAATAAATAAAATAAAAATGTTTTATTCATTCATTTTATAGGGGTATAGTACAGGGGCGGATGTTTCCATTTAGGCTTGTTAGGGCCTGTGTTAGGAAACATCGCTCTCCTATAATATTAACAGTAATCTTACTTTTGTATTATTTTAAGATGATGAAACAGACTACCTTAATATCCACTATAACTGGTGTTACAACTAATACAAATTTCCCTAATTACAGTAATTTTTAACTTTTCAGACTAAAACAGATTAACCTAAGTGTTAGTGTGCGCGAGTGCAAGTATGTGTATATGCGTCTGTAAATGTGTAATTGTGTGGAATGTGAACATGTGTGTCATCCATCCGTAAGACGTTTGACGATTATTTATTCACAATATATGTATTATGTATATATTGATGTAGTATACGTTTTATATTTACTTGTTTATTTGTTTATTTATTTATATGTTTCATACTATTTCGTTATTGGATATACTTAAATATAATGTATTAACATTAAAATATAAAAAAAACGAAGGTTTTGATATCAGAAATGGATACAAAACCTTTTCAAATTTGTATTCTAGTGAAAATGACTTTGTCGGATGTTCGCGTGTAATGTTTACACTGTTATTTGTGGAAAATGTTATATTTAATTTAAACTGACATTTAAACATAAATTTACTCTGTTTTCCTATGGATATTTAAGATTTATCAATGCGAATATTATATAGTTACATGGTTATTCTAGTAAACAATTGGTAATCTATTTTTAAAGTGCAAATTATGCGATACAATTTTATCCATTAGCTTTTTATTTTATTATGGTTTTTTATTTACTGAAAATTATATTCTCTTGGACCTACCGAGGTACCAACCAATTAGGGTTGAGTAGTTATTTACTGAAGATGCAATAAAAGAAAGATTATGTCGTCGTGAGTGAGTGATTTATTCAAGGAGATGAGCGTTCTAAACATAAATTTTGCTAATAACAAGAATCAATTATGAATTCTCTTAATTACATGTAAAATTCTACTAAACAAACAAATATTACTTATTAACAAAAGATGGAATAATCGCTAGGAGTCTGCGAGATGTTAAAGAAGGGTCTGTACTTTTAATGTTGAAATTTTTCCAAAGTTTTTTTTTAGGAAATTATTCGTTTGCATTCCTATAAAGTTCAACTTTGAATGCGTAGGTACTCAATGAAATTTTAATTAAAACAGGGAATTCATAAATTAACTTACATCTAAACTCAGGAAGGAAAAGGAGTCTTGTCATTGCTTATTTTTACTACTCTCGGCAAACATGTTACTGGATAGTCTCTCCCTTATACTAGCTGTCTGCCTCCGACTGGGCGGAAGAACCGTTCACTCACATCAATTCACGTGGGGATGCTGTTGACGAGTCTGGCCACCATGGCCCCTCGTGTACTCAAAGTCTAACTGCCTCCGTGGCCGAACGGTTACCATGCCGGACTGCCACGCAGAGGTCCCAGGTTCGATTCCCGGGCCGGGAGAAATGTTTGTATGGCCTACATTTATTTCTCTCGTGAGTTTGGGTGTAATTTGTGGTTGTCTATATGTGTGTCCATGGCACCCGCGACACAGGGTTTCCCTAGTGCGGGGCTATGTTGAGTGTGTGCGTTATTTATTTATTAAAAAAAAGGCAAAGAATAATTTATTCCATAGGTACAATAAATTTGCACTTGAAAACTTCACATTTAAGCTTTAAGCTAATGCTCGTTCACTACGCTGACTTCCCTGCTGAAATCCTATGGAATACACTTTGAATCAAATTTGTGTGGATTCTGGAGCAATGTCTTTACGTACATCTTTATCTAACGCGTAGTCTTCAATTTTTCCAGTAATAGTAAAGTAATAGTTCTAGAGATAAATTAATTTTTCATACCATCCAAATTAAGAAAAATTGTAAAAGAAAACAATTATATCATTATTTTTCTTTATCAGACTATCTCGGGTACTATATTTAACCATAGTTATAAACAACCGAAGCTATTGATAGAAAAAACAACTCATCGCATGCCTCTCCCGCGCACTTATCTATGATGTGTTAGCGTAACGAATACAAATTAGAACTTGTATCGATTATTGTCATACCTTAAGCACGTAATCGATTCGAACTTATTATTATAATTGAAAGATTTTTCATATTAATTATATATTTTTTTAAAAGGACGTCTAAATTAATGCCTGCCTGATATCAATTCTGTATTTCAGTTTAGCAATAATAACATTTGAAAGTATCTAAATCCCTTTCTAAAAGAAATGCCAATCAATCAAGCATCGGTCTACCAAAAGCGTTAACCAATGAAATCACAGTCTGTTAACCCACCCAAACGTTGGTGGGGCGAAGCTTGATGGTATAATCACAATAGAAAATTTATGCAGTCTGTGTTAGAAATTTCTAGCCAGAGGTAATATTGTGAATACTGTGGGTACCGTATATAAAGGTTGTTAATTTATACAGGTATGTACTAACTGTCTTCTTTTTATTACGTAATTTAGTAACGAACTATCATGTATATTACTTGCTTAAAAGGAAATAAATGATTGTAAGTGAATTGTATTAAGCTGTTTCCTTTCGCCTCTTAAATGCTTCCTTACTTATCCAAATCTTTACTTGAGAATTTGCTAACAAATTTATCCATCATTGACGATGCAAATCAGTTTTTGCTAGAAATCAAAATACTTTTACTAAATAGATCAGTAACAGAAATTACTCGAAAATATCCAGTAACAAAATTGTACACAAAGATGCCTTACCATAGGCAAACTCCAAAGTTTGGCGAAACACTTTAAGTAAATTGTTTTTTTTAAAGTTTCACGAACAGTATTAGGTATAAAATTAGTTTGCTAAATACATGCAAGAGTAGTGGCTCTGTGCGCCAAATACGTACATGCAATATTCGTGCGCGATTGTTGAATTTTTTTTCCGTAGAAAAAACATTGAAATATCGAATAATTATAAAATTAATTTGAAAAAATATATGAGGTGTATTTTGAGCAGGAAAATCCAGAAATGCAAAAAAAAATACCATAAAAGCTTTTGCAACGTTTGGCGGCCCCACCGAATAAACGTTAAAACTTTTATGACAATGCTGTGTGCTCAGTGTTAGATCAGCAGTCGTTTGAGGGCAGTTGATTGCTATCGTAAAGAAGTAATGTGAGAATTACCTAAGAGTCTGGTAATGTGAAGATTATAGCACCGATTTCTTCAGTGTCTGATGTAATCCTGCTTAAAGGACACCTTATGAAGCTCGACACCTTCTGCATCGATAACCAACTTAACCGTAGTCCGTCTAAGTGCAGCGTCGTCAGTTTTAGCCGCAAAAGTAACTTAGTGCGTTTCAAATACTCATTGAAAGATATTAAATTACAACATGATAAGGTAAGGGATCTTGGTGTGCCTCATGATCATTAATTGCTATTTGCTTCGCCTGGCGACGCTGTTATTTCAAAAGCTCTCGGATTTGTAACTACACTTTTAAAAAGTGGATTTTCATACGGATTTCGCGAACTAGGCCGAAAAGTACCTTGTTTTTTAATTTAGTGTCGTATAAGTTTTTTCGTCTCTTCACTTTTGTCTTCTCTTCCCTTATCTTGTATTTCCCTATTTCATGCAACATAGAACGCAAATAATCAAGAGCCTGTTTCTCAAATTCAAATAATCAAGTGCGTGTTTTTGTTTATTGTTTAAAATTTTGATTTAAGAAGGCACATTTTTAATTTAGAAAATATTTTAGAAAAAGTTGCCTTTTCCGCTTGTATTACAAATTCTGAAAAGTTCATTTCGAAAATCGGGTCTACTGGGAAGCCTGGGACCTTCTGATTCATCCACCGAGGTCATCAATGAATTGCAAGAACTGGAGTTAAATTATTATGAATTTGCGTTTGGTATCAGTTATTCGACTAGGTCTGGTATAAATAGATGTTCACTGAGGATTATCTATCATTTACTTGCAAGTATTCGGTGTTATCGTTTTTACAAATCATGTTGCGACAGTTCTTGTTAGTGTTTTTTATGGTTACTATCGGTAAGTTAAATTCATTATATATTCTTGAAATAGATTTGTTGTTTTCTGCGCTTAAATTGTAAAAGAAATAAGAACTGAAGTCCCTGTCGTGTTTGTCTGCTACCCTAGCGGTTTTTGAAACCTACTGTCGCTTTTCGCTTGAACACCTTAGTTGGTTTCAAATGTATTTACTCTCATCTATTAAACTTAAACGAATCATTGGAACATTTATATTTTCTGAAAGCCAAATTCAGAGCAATTGGCTATTTATTTTTTGAAAGAATATGTCTCTGGAGTAAATCTTAACGTCGAAATTCCTCTGGAACCGGTATTGTTCCGATCTCGCAACTGATCAGTTCAAATAGGAATGTTGAACGCATGGTCATTAAATTTTTTTATTCTTATAAACCGACCTCAAAACGCCTGTACATAGATATTGTTGACCCTCTGATACCTCAAAAGATTGTTTACCCGCTTTCACTGTACTTAACGATAAATGTATCGCGTAATACGTCCAAAAGAATAAAACGAGCCCCAACACAAGTGTACAATACTTTATGTACGTAAACGATACGAACTTATTATTATTACAATTGAAAGGAGTTTTCATATTAATTACATTTTAAAAATTACGATTAAATTAATATCTGATTGATATCATTTCTGTAATTAAATTAGCAATAATAACATTTAAAAGTGTCTAAATCCATTTCTAAAAGAAATGCCAACAATTCAATCACCGGCTTACCAATGAAATGACAGTCTGTTAACCCACCAAAAACGGTGAGGCGAAGCTTGATGGTATGGGTTGCACAAGAACGTTTATTCAGTCTGTGTTCGGATTTTTTGGCCAGAAGTAATCTTACTGTGGGTGTATATAAAGGTTATTTAATTTATTGAGGTATGTGCCAATTGTTTTCTTATACGAGATTTAATCAGTAACGAACTATCATGTTATATTGTTTGTAGAAAAGGAAAATAAATAATTGAAAGGGAATTGTATTAAGCGGTTTCCTGTCGTGCCTTCGATGCTACCTTAATTGCCCAAGTCTTTAGTTGTGAATTTGCTTATACAAGGTAGCTGCTGTTAAGGAATTTCTCTTATCTGTCTGCCATTTCCATCATCAGACCACTGATGACTGACTTACTTATGTGCCAAGTTTTATGGAAATCAGTTAATGAAAGGGTGAAATTCAATAAACTGGATTCAGCCCCTATACACCGTCCAACCATTTATGTAACTTTTAACATATACAACAAAATGCATAACTAGTGAAGCGACGGTCTCTTCAGCTCCGATATTTATCGAGCCAACAACGAGATTATGTAGCGAAGATTATTCAAGTTGATAAATTTTAGTACCTGGCTAATAAACTTTATTGAAATGAAATATATTATAAATAATTATAATAAATTTGTATTGCTTATTATAATGAATCGTTGGATACTTCTCCATATAAACGGGAATCATCACTTGCATTAATTATTAATTCTTGAGTACACAAATTGTCAAACGCGACATCACGATCCCAATCGGACAATCTTCTTTTTTAAACCCGCTTACATTCACGATTCAAACTTCTTTATAAATAAAATCGATGTTGTACAATAATCGAATCGTAAAAGCGTGGGGATATCAGTAATTGATTAGAATTCGAGCTGTCAAAAGTTAAATAAATTGTTGGACGGCATTGATGTTGTACGAAGTATAATTTGCCACTCGTTCTCATCCATTAGAGGTGAAATATTTTCAAATTTGAATAATATACTACTAATGTGTGTGTTTCTGACAAAAAAAACATGGGCCTCATAAGAAGGCTCAAGGTTACTCAGCGGGCAATGGAGAGAGCGATGCTCGGTATTTCCCTACGTGATAGAATCAGAAATGAGGAAATCCGTAGGAGAACTAAGGTAACCGACATAGCTCGAAGAATTGCTCAGCTGAAGTGGCAGTGGGCGGGGCACATAGCTAGGAGAACCGATAGCCGTTGGGGCGGAAAGGTTCTTCAATGGCGACCGCGCACCGGACGACGCTCAGTGGGTAGGCCCCCCACCAGGTGGACCGACGATCTGGTGGAGGTCGCGGGAAGCCGATGGATGCGGGCAGCGCAGGACCGATCGTTGTGGAGATCGTTGGGGGAGGCCTATGCCCAGCAGTGGGCGTCGTATGGCTGAATGATGATGAAGCGAAACGTTCACACAAAAAAATATAAAAATATTTACAGTAGAATTAAAACTTCTCCATTTGCAATTATCATATTGATAAGTAAAGTCTAAATAATAAAAATTATTCTGTTTATTATTATTTATTTTAAGTAAACTAATAAAGATGCGCAATCTTTCGCATCAAGGAGCGCCCTCCTGTTAGAAACAGATCATTGAATTAATTAGAATCATTGCAGATGCGGAAGAATTGATAAAAAAACCTCCAAGGTTTCGTCCTGACTACAAATACGTGGCGGCGATAGACGGCTGGCTGAAGCTGTACCGGGTACCTACCAACTGGAATGACGCCCGCACACGGTGCCAGCTCGAAGGTAGGCAAGTCAGTGGCGTTAAGTTTAAAAATATAACACAAAAAATTGGTTCTTTTTATTTTTTATTTATTTATTATAAACAACCATACTATAGGTATAATAATTGTACAGTGTCCCGAAAACCAGTTTAGGTTTTACCGTACACTACCACTCGTCATTTAGTACAAATACAAATTACATTTAACTTAAATTATAGTTATAACGTAATCTAAGGTATTCGCTCAGCAAACACTGTTAATTTAATTGTAGGGTTAAATACAATGACAGTATTCAATTCTACCTGACCTGGCCGATCGACACGCCGACAGATTGCGAGTGCATGTATTAGGGGTTAAAGTATGAAATTGCCGTTTTATTGCAATAGGTTCTTTGAATTTTCATAGAATCTTCATGGTTTGAGGTTTTCGAATGAAACTTTTTTCAAATGGTTTCTGTGATTTTTTTTTTTTAATTTGAAACATTTGAATATCGACTTTCAATTGTTTTTGTTATTCAATTTAGACAAGAAAGATGGATACTGCGAAAATTCGAGTGATTTTTGAATACGAGTTCCGACGCGGAACTAACGCGGCAGAAACAGCCCGCAATATCAATGCTGCGTTTGGAGAGGGGTCTACTAATGAACGCACCGTGCGATTTTGGTTTAAACGCTTTCGTGATGGAAATTTCGACTTAAAGAACGAGGCACGAGGAAGACCGCCCACACAGGTGAATAACGATGAATTAAGAGAGATAGTGGAAGCCGATCCTAGTCAAACTACCCAGGAATTAGCGGCATGGTTTAACGTTACCTTACCCACAATATTGACTCACTTGCGTCAAATCAATAAAATAAAAAAATACGAAAAATGGGTGCCTCATGATTTGACTGATCTGCAGAAAGAAACGCGTGTTGAAACTTGTGTTGCCTTGTTGAACCGGTACAGAAATGAAGGAATATTGGATCGAATTGTAACATGTGATGAAAAGTGTATTCTTTATGATAACCGGAAAAGAAAAATGCAATGGCTGACCCCAGGTCAAATGCCACAACAGTGTCCTAAAGCAAAACTTACCAATAAATTACCTTTTTAAGGTAGTTTATTGGTAACCTGGTAACTGTTTGGTGGTCTCAGCATGGTGTTATTCACTATAGTTTTCTCCGATCTGGTCAAGCAATAACGGCAGATGTCTATTGTGCCGAACTCCGAACCATGTTGACAAAACTAGCAGTAAAACAGCCCCGACTCATGAATCGATCTTCACCATTATTGCTCCACGACAACGCGAGACCTCACAAAGCACGAGAAACCATTTTGACCCTTCAGGAACTGCAGTTAGAAACCATTCGTCATCCTCCGTATTCACCAGACCTTGCTCCAACGGACTACCATTTTTTTCGTGATTTGGACAATTATCTACGTGACAAGAAGTTTTCTTCCCAGGAGGCAGTACAAAATGCTTTCACACAGTTTGTGCAGTCTAGATCGTCGGAGTTCTATCGCAAAGGCATTAATAACCTTCCCATTAGATGGCAGCAATGTATAGATAATAATGGCAACTATTTTGATTAAATAAATTTGTTAAAAATTTAAAAAATAAACAATTTAGATTTTCAGTACAAATCGGCAATTTCATACTTTAACCCCTATTATTATGGCTAAATTGTGCAGACACACGGGTGGGTTTCTTACACTTGATTCAATAGTACATTTTTATTAAGAGGGAGCAAAGGAAAAATTCCTAATCTTCGATTTGATTTTAGAGGAGTATATCCACTTTAAAGTTAAAAATGAAATATTGTATGAGTAACTATACGATATATTCAAGCATAGACATTAACCAGAAACATAAAACAATAAAGTTTCCTCGATAGATAAAAATCACGAAATGACCTCTAATTTTCACATTTTTTCGATTTATCCTCGAAAAACAGGTTATTAGGACAAAAATTTGATAATTAATTATATTTATGCATGATCGACAACTGTCCCTACGGATTTTTTTTTAATCCCTTTAGTTTTAGAGTTATTCCGCTAAAACGAATTTGGTACTTTTAATGCGCAAAATTCAACATCTCCTGTCGCATGTCACGCGAACTTCAGGCTTATATTTGTTTCACAAATTTGGGCGGAGCCAACGTCAAAACTTTTTTGGCATGAGAGCTCTTAATAATATCATATGTATACCATACACACGTACATTCACATACACATAACATATAATTTATAATACAATTCATATATACACATTCACATGTGTGTATATAAACTATAATTATGTATATGATATTTTTGTAATAAATTTAAGAAACGCTTCTTTAACTCATTTTTAATGTTTATTTTATTAATTTTTTGTTTGAGAGTTAGATTCAGGTCGTTTATAAGTTTTGGTATTTGATACTTTAGTTGTTGTTTCCCGTAAAGATTGTTAAAACATGGAAACTTTAAGGTAACGTTACAGTTTTAGATGTTACTATAGCTCTCACGGTTCTTACCTGCAGTCTATATATAGGATCGAGATGCGTTTTGCAAGTTCTACCATAGGAACTAAGAGCATAATGTATTGTCGTTTCTCCTAGAGCCTTATACAAACTTAAAAGTGTGATGTAAGGAATTTTGTATTTTACTATACTCAATTTGGCCATTATTGCTCGTAATTTGTCACATACATAACTAACATGCCTGACCATTTAAAATGGATTGACCATTGAAATCTGTCATCTATTATTAAACCTAGATACTTTTGCTTACAAACGAGTTCAATCGGACTACAAGAGCAATTTCGCTGTTCAGTGTGAAGACACTTGTGATTACGCGCAATAAGTTTTTATAAATTATATTTTTTTCGGTTTTGGCTAGAACTTATGTGCATAATTTTTGTTTTATTACTATTAAGCACAAGACCCGCATCATGAGAGCACTTTGACAAGGGGTGAAATCTCTTTGCAAATGAGATAAGGCAATGTCTAGGACTTTGTTAGCAGCTAAGATACATGTATCATCTGCAAATTGATATATTTCACAGTTGTTTAGTGGGTTGACTGCGTCACTTACATAATTAATATAGTGTAATGGGCCAAGCACGAATCCTTGTGCTGTACTATCTAATACCTTAACCCGTCTGTTGATGTCATCGGATACTTTCACAACATATGACTTATATCGAGGTATTCTTGACACCATGCACTAAGTGGACCCCTTATACCAAATTCGTTTAGCTTGTCAATAAGTATATCGTGTTTTAGTGTATCGAAAGCTTTACTATAATCAATAAATACCACTAGAACGTGTTCCCTGTTATCAAGATGCTTGTTAACACTGTCGGTAAATTTAACAGCAATTATGTGGTACTTTTTCCGCTCTGGAATCCATATTGTTTGTCAGTAATAACGTTGTTTTTTTTATAAAAACTATGAATTTGTTTAGATACAGCTTTTTCCACTATTTTATCTACAGTGGAAAGAATAGTTGTTGGTCGGTGTTTGTCGCATTCATCATTTCTTCCTTTTTTATAAATCGGTCTAACTATTCCGGTCTTAAGTTCATTTGGGTATTTACCCTGCTTTATTGACGTATTGATTAAATGAGTTATTACTTCTGCAATTTCTGCGTCAATTACTTTTAAATCTTGTGGTCTTATTCCATCAATACCCGGCGCCTTTCTATTATTTAGTGATCTTATTTGTTTAAGAACAGTCCCAGCAGAAATTTGCTGATACCTGCAACTCACGTTAACGCTAGATGCAAAAATACTCTTATCTACAAGCTTTATGTTACACTTCGGAACAATATTTTTTATATTAGATTCAAAACAATCGGCGAACTTGTTAGCTATATCTATAGTAGAATTATTATTTTTCAGAAATGCGTTTAATATAACAGTATCAGCTATAGTTTTTGCTCTACCCGTAATGTCATTTAGTATTTGCCATAGTGCTCTTGGGTTGTTTCTATGATTCCATACTTTGTCTCGTATTTTATTATTTTTAGCTTTAATAATTGATTTATTTGCGTTGTATATATTACTTGTATCCTTAATCCATTTTATAAATAATTTATCTCTGTACTCACGTGCTTTTATAATTCTAGGGTTAATCCATTTATTACTTATTCTATTTTTATTTTTCGCTATTTTTATGATAACTTGATTTTTCATGACATTTTTGTATATTATCTACTATAATTGAATATATTTTATTCGGACAGAATTTTTTTAACTAGTTGCAAATCTATTTGTTTTAAATTATTTGATAGCAAGTTGTAATCAAAAGAAGTAATATATCCAAAATCCACCCGTGTGGACGGCACACTATTGACTGTACCTAGTGCGATGGCTTGGTGGTCGGCCATTGCAGTCCCTAGTGGCGCCGTGTACAAGCCTAGTGAGCGGGATCGTGCGTAAATGTGGTCTATACAAGATTTACTAAGTTTATTATTCGCAATTTCTATGCGAGTATATTCGGTGATCCCGCAAACTAAGCCGTGATTGTGCATAGTGGTGTTGTATTCATGTATTACAGGACTATGGACCTGTAAATTAATCTTTATATCACCTAGTAGATACATATCATGTTGTCTACCAACCTTTGTCAACAGGGTATCTAGTTCCTTAGCAAACAAGTGTTTTGTTTGACCCGGAGGGCGATGTATGCATCACAGAACCGCGGAATAACTTGATGGAGTGGTTAATTTTCCTAATAAGCATTCAAAATGTTGTGTTTTTTGGTGATTAGTGACAAATTGGTGTTCATTTTTTATATAAATAATTACACCACCATCTTTTCGATTCCTCCGTAGTTCTGCATACATATTTATACCCTTGTAACTGATATAAACCACAAAGAGAGTAAGTAATATTAACTTCCGTTAACATTATGACATCGACAGCTCGAGAGGACGGATGGATACATTGTTCCAGAGCATCAAAGTTTTTAATGATTGACCTTATGTTCATATGTATGCACAGTAGATTAATACGGTCAGGAATATTGTTTACAAATGTTTTCAAATCATTACAGTCTTTTATTTGCAATATATCATCTGAGGTAAAATCCATTTAGGCAAAAAAAAAAACAAAAGAAAATATAAGAAACAGAGTACCCACATTAATTTTAAGTAACTTACGAATTATTGGTGAAGTTTTAAGTCTCTTGATATCTTCCAAAGACCGTATAACACTAGGCTTCTGGTTGTCTCCTTCCTTCCTCACACGTAATATTCCTTTCTTGACCCAGATATATTTGTATATGGTTTTCAATTCTTGTTTTGCGTGCCACAGTAGCTGTTTATTATAGGGTGTTAAAGCTTCGCATATGAATATAGTGTCACTAGACTTAGAAGGATGAGCCCCTGGGACAATGCTGGAGCCAGTGATTTCCAAACTTTTTGATTTTGCTGCAGTTGTCCAAGATGTTTGGTTCTCCTCATTGTTAAGTTCAATTTACACTGGTCCCGGTCGGTTACCTCTGCCAGGTAGACGTTTAGCTTGCTTGATGTATTCAACATTTTGTCTGAGTTTCCTGACCATATTGCCCACAATTTCAATAATGTTTTCATTTTCACTTAAAGGTAAATTATGTATTTCAAGACACTTGCGTAGTTTCTGCTGCTCTATATCTTGTATACGCTGTTCTAATGCACCTACTCTTACTTCCAAGTGATTATTCTTATTTGTGAGTTCTGTGGTTCTTTTCTGTAATATGCTATTATTTCTTTGTAAGGATTCTATAGTTTTGATGAGTTCGTAAATCTTATCTGAGTGATACTGGATAGATTGAGTTATGTCTTTCATTTCTTTTTTAATGGCTTTTTCCACCTCTTTTGATATATCCCTCAGAAGTTTTTTGAGATCAACCTGTATGTTAGGTGATTCAGCGCTGCTTTTGTATTCCTCTTCATCGTCTGGTATGATGATGGAGCGATGTTTCGACGAGGTATTTTGACAGTCTTGGCAAGTCCATTCCTAGTTTTCTGTGGCACTTAAAGCAGTGAGCTGTTTATTTGTGAGACCACTACATTGATTACTCAAATGCACTATTTTTTCATATCGATTGCATTCTAGCCCTGGTCTAGATTTAGTTATATTTTTGTTACAGCTATCACATTTACTGGACATATTGAGGGTAGTTCACTGAGTGTTAACAAACGTATTACTGGGGCCTTACCATGAACTCTTATTACAGTTCAGTACAACAGTAACGTCAAAAAAGCGGGATGGTGATATACACTTCATGTAGCGCTGTCTAACAATGATTTATTTTAGATCCTAAACTGAATCGTAATAAAAGTTCATGGTAAAGCCCTAGATTGGAGCACTTGATGACAAATGATTATATCCAGATTATACTGGGTATTGTTATACCCAAATTCCTCCAAAAAAATTGAAGAACAAACGAAAGGAAAAAATGGCTTTTAACGATCAGGCGGTTTCCAAGATTTTCAAAGCGATTGTTTAAATATACATAAACCACTACGCCATCTACCACACTAATTAACAATTTCACCACAAAAATCGTCATTTTTCTTCCACAGGTGCGGACCTCGCGTCTCCATCCAATGACCAAATGTTGCAAGCTATGGTGGACATCATCGGGCAGGCCCGTGGCGTCAACTGTGGCGTCTACACCGGTGTTAATGCTTGGTTCTCCCATGGAGATTATACCTCTATCGATGGTAATAATTTTTCACATCATTAGAGCATCATCTTGGGTGAAAGCTGTACACTTTCTATTAAACCTGACCTATTGAGAAATAATGTTAAAACAAACCGTGATTTGCAGCTTTAGGAATCTCTCTACGTATGGAATTAATAACAACAAAGATAAAAACATTAAATTTATTCCCACTAGTTCCATGCATGGAACTTTTGGGTTCCATGTGGAACTGATTACATGGGACTACTGGGAATAAACCCCTATGCTTAGTTAAGGTCAACGTGATGTAAAATAAAAAGCGTTCGTTTCTATGAATTTCTTCATCACTGGCGTTTTTGTATACCTTCATTGGAAGTTAGCAAATGCTATTTGCAATCAGACAGCCAGACGATGCTATCTGGTGGGTTAGTTTCATGACGTAGACATCCAAAGTCTTTGATTAATAAAATTAATATGATATTGACGTAAATGATATAATTATTATAAATGACTCGGGAATCAGGTTTAAAATTCCCGCATTATGGATTGTTACAAAAGTATTAGAAAGAATAATACTACACATAATATTGTATTGCAGGTACTCCCCTGTCGGAGATGCCCGTAGAGTTAACGAATTCACAGACATGTCCTCAAATGGCAACGTACCCCTGCACAGTTCTGTTACCTTCAGGCACCATTAACATCGTAGAATGCAAGCATCTGTATCCTTTCATATGCTACAGAAAGAATAATAAGGAGATTCATAACATCAGTGAATGTGGAACTATTGATTCTGGTTAGTAATATTTTATGCTGCAGATTTTTATTCCAAGAAGTTTTGCTAGATCAAATGTTTCAGGTATATATATTAAATAACGGTCTTACAAAAAATATACGATACACCTCAGGATATAGTCCAAAGAATGTGCTAATTTATTATAGGATAGGCTGTACTTTATCCGATCATATAAAATCCCGAACTCAGGCCACAATAGAAGACTAAAGCAAATTATTTTTAAGAATGAGATATGTAACTTGGCACATAAATTTTATATAGGAGATGACATATTTCTCTTAAAGTACTACAGAGAACTTGCTAAATTCTACAACCCTACAGTTATTAAATTCACGTTTATTCCAAAACTTGAAAATTACCCAGCGATTTAATGACACACCACACCACCCGCTGCCCCATCAATCGCCATCGCGTGCTTGTCAACGTTAAATCTGTCTCAAATTTACTCTGCCTGTTCTTATTTAATCATAATATTTTTTGCGCGTGGATTGGGGGACACGCGGGCGGCCCCGCACACCTCATATCCTAAAATCTAGGTTCGCGTTCAAATACTTCGCCTTACGTACGTAAGATAAGTAAGGTGGCAATAAAAAACAAATTCTGACCCAACTGTATAAAATATAATGTCAGTACAGAGTACTAAAAAACCGACGATGTTGAGTGTGAGTGTGTGCGTTACTTCTTGTCTTGTCTTGTCTTGTCGACCTCAAAAGTACGTGGAATTACATATAATTACCAAGTTTTATTGAAATCGGTTACCGGAAAGTGCGCAAACCCGGATTCGGATATACGGGACTTGACACAGGAGATAACAAAAATAGGTTTTCACTACTCAAAGTATATTGAGAGAGAAAAATGCCTTGAATTGGAGAATAATAAAATCAACCATTAAAATAATTGCTCCTTATAATAAAATTTAGGCGCTATTTATAAAAATGAGTCTTCATGTGTGAACAGCCACGCTTAGAGGTGAATGATTTTCTTCAAAATTAAATGACACCACTATGGAGGTACCCTCTTTCCAACAAAAAAATCATGAAAATCGGTTCACAAATGTTACTTATCGCGTAACACACATACAAAAAAAATCATACAGTCTAAATGAGAACCTCCACCTTTTTTGAAGTCGGTTAAAAATCCGAGAGAAGTTTATGTAGAGATGGTATCGTAGCGAGTAATCGAAACTGGTCAATGACCAAAAGTTGTTTATTAAACTAATATTATGTAACGTTTCATGAGTTAAACCCAGAATTAACCTTTGTGTGATAAGAGCACGATATTTATTACGATGAAGACAGTCACGGGTATAAGGCTTAATATATATCGAGCATATGCGAGAATTCCACGTACGGCTTGTATCTAGTTTGTACGTTACACAACTGACAATAAAGTTCATTATGCTATGCACAATATCGTTATAAAAATTCGCTTCCATTCCGTTCCGTCGCGATATACATTGAGCCATAAAACCTCTATTTCCAATAAAAAATCAACCTGGGGTTTGCTTTTAAAAAAAACTTGGTTCCATTTTCATCGAAAATATCTTTTGTACTTCGAGCCAACACGTAAACGTAATCTTGCAATTTGCTACAAAACGATTTCGTACTATAAACGGATTTGCTACAACAACAACATGGTCAACTGTTTAAAAGTTTTAGCATTTAGATTCCCGGAGCCAAACGAGTTTACTCTTGAGCAGGTCAAGGACCGAAACTGGTACTGGTACCGATAGCCGACTGTCTCCAGCTAGTTGAAATGGACCTGTCGTCCAATTTGAACTTCGGCAGATACACACAATCCATGGCCAAAAATGCAGCCAAAAAGCTTGTCGTCCTTTCCAGGGTGAGGCGTTACTTCGCACCGGGACAATTGCTTAAGCTGTACCAAGCATAAGTCCGGTCTGCTGCTACCTATGGGGTGACTCTGCTACTTACCAACTGGCCACCTTGGATTCAATCGACAAACGTACCAAGAGGCTTATAGGTGACTCAGAATTAGAAGAGGCGAAGCTGTAGAGCCTTGAACACCGCCGTAAAGTTGCCTTCTTATCGGTATTCTACAGGATGTATCACGGAGAGTGCGGGGGAATTGCACGAAGCAATTCCGCCTTTCCCTTTCCACCATCGGGGGATCAGGCATAGGCTGGGATTCCACCCTTATGTTGTGGATATTCATAATATTAAAATTAAATGCTATGGAATACACTTTGAATTATAATTGCGTGGAATCTAGACTCTTGTTGTCTTACCATACTTCTTTATCTAAAACATACTCTTCAATTTTGTAATGCGATTTTTCAATTAAAATTCTTTTAATGTAAGTTTTAAACTTAGGAAATGATAACCTTAATATATGCTCCGGAATCTTATTGTGAAAACGTATACAGTTCCACATAAAGGAATCGTTTACCTTAGTTAAACGAAATACACTTATATACATGTGTGACGGTGTGACCTCCTTACACCGTCATCTCACCTTTTTGTATCGCCTCTCTCCGCTTGTATCCTATATATGTTTCAGATTCCGTCGCG